TGAATAGGTGGTGTGTTTATAGGAACCTGTTCATTTCTTCTAGGCTGTCTAATTTGTTGGTGTATAATTGTTCTTAAGTCTCTTTTAATCCTTTGTATTTGATACCAGTTTTCACATCTCCTGTGCCATTTCTAATTTTGAGTCCTCTGTTTCTTGATGAGTCTAGCTAAAGCTTTGTCACTTATAGCTTTTCAAAGAAGCAGCTGCTAGTTGCATTGATGTTTTCTGTTGTCTTTAGCCTCAATTCTGCTCTGGTCTTTGTTATTTCATTCCTTCCACTAACTTTGTACTTCATTCTTTTTCTAGTTCCTTAAGGTATTAGGTTTGAGACTTTTCTTGTTCCCTGAAGTAGGCATTTATCGCTCTGAACCTCTCTTAGAACTGCTTTTTCTACATCCCACAAATTTTGGTATATTACATTACTGGTTTTCATTTATCGTTGTGTATTTTTTTCTTAGTTTCTCTTTTGATTTCTTCTTTGATCCATTGCTTATTCAGTAGCATGTTTTAATCTCCATGTATATTGTTAACTCTACTTTTGTGTAACTTTTAGTTTCATACCATTGGGTTGATGAGATGCTTGATATGATTTGTCTTATTAAATTTAGTGAGACATGTTTTGAGGGGTAATGTATAATCTGTCTTGGAAAATGTTTCACATGCACTTGAGAAGAATGTGTATTCTTTTGCCTGTAGATGGAATAGTCTATAAATATTTGCTAAGTCTATTTGGTCTGACATGTCATTTAAAGTTTACGTTTCTTAACTGGTTTTCTATCTGGATGATCTGTTCAGTGATGTAAGTGGGGTAGGAAAATCCCCTGTTGTTACTGTATTCCCTTTTTCCATCCCTTTACTTTTAGTCTGTGTGTGTCCGCCCTTAACATCTAAAGTGTGTCTCTTGTAGACAGTGTAGATGGGTCTTGTTTTTTTAATCCGTTCAGCCATTATATCTTTTTGTTGGAGAAGTTGGTCCATTTACATTGGAAGAAATTATTTATAGGTATGTGCTTATTGCCATTTTGTTAATTGTTTTCTGTTTTTGTAGCTCTTCTCTGTTCTTACATTCTCTTTGTGGTTTGATTACTTTCTTTAGTGTATGCTTATATTCCTTTCTTTTTTTTCTTGTGTATGTTTACCATAGGTTTTTGCTTTGTGGTTACCATTGGGCTTCCATCAAACATTGATATCTGTAACATCCTATTTTAAGTTTGATCCCATTCTAAAGCTCACCATTTTTACTTCTCCCACCACATGTTATGCTTTTGATGTAACATTTTACATCCTTTTCTTGTGTATCCCTTAACTAATTTTACTGTGATCAGTTACTTATACTACTTTTTGTCTTTTAACCTTCATGTTAGCTTTGTCAGTAATTAAATAACTGTTCTGTGATTACTCTTCCTGTCTTTCATTCTTTCATATATGTTCTTGTAAGTAGTTAGGGAAAGCACAAAGATGGTGCCTGGCAGTCCCCATCCCTGGAGAGTGCTCCAGCAGGCTCCCAGATGTGTTTTAAATTAGGTGCTTGCCCCACATGCTGAGGCTTTAATGTAAACAGGTAAGTCTCCTTCATTTTAAGTCTTCACAGGATCGGCCGCCTCTGAGTTGGGCCTGGGGCGGGTGAGTCTCAGCGTGCGAGCCTCTGAAGAGGTGTTTCTCAGGTTGTACATCTTGTGGGTCTCTGGATGAAAGCCCGGGTGGTTTGGGGCCTTGTCTCTCAAATGCATGTCTTAAAAGTTGGGGTGCCTGATGCAGGGTTTGAACCATTTACTCCTCAGGGAGAAGCTCTTAAGTTTTGAGTTCCCTCCCAGTTGTGGGTCATAACACTAGGGTTGGGTTTATGGTGAGATTGTGTCCCAGCCTCTCCTGTACACTTTGGTTTTCTTCTCATTTGCCTAATGTGTAGTCATCACTCAGCCAGCCAGTAGGTTTTTTTAAGAGGAAATTGTTTATATTCATCTGTAGACTGAAACATACGTTCATGGGAAGAGGTGAGTTTGGGATCTTCCTATATTACCATCTTGAACTGGAACCCTTGGTAGTCTTTAAAAAAAAAATTATTTGCTAATTTAAAAGTTAAGAAACAATAGTTGTAATAAGCATTTGTTTAGCTATTAATAATTGCATTTCCTAAATCTTAATAATTTCTAATTTCCTTCTGTGAATTATCTATTCTTCAGTTAGCCATCAGTAGTTCCTCTCTTAGTAATTATATACAAGCTCTAGAGTTTTTAAAAACATAATTTTTACAGTATTTAGTACATGCTCACTGCAGAAATTTTGGGAAACAAAAAATGTAGAGAAGACAACGAATTGTGCTATTGCCCAAGTTACTAGAGTCCATGTTTTTTAAGTACTTAAATATGTATTTTAATGTGACAGAGTACGTATTGTATGTACTATTGTATAACCTGTGTATTTCACTTTATGTAATAAACATTTTCTGATGTCATTAAACCTTTTATGGGCAGAGCCAAGGTCATGCACTATGACACACTTTAAATATTCTCTTTGCTTACACCTAAACTTGATAGAACAATAAATGTGAAAACAAATCTTTCCTGTCTTAGTTTAAGCTACTATAACAAAGCACCATAGACAGGTGGTGGCTTATAAATGACAGAAATTTATTTTCTTACACTTCTGGAGGCTGGAAGGTGTAATAAGATCAATATTTTGGCTGATACACTCTCCAGTGAGAGCCCACTTCCTGGTTTGTAAAGGGTTCTCCTCTCACTATATCTTCACATGGCAGGAAAAAAACAAGGTAGATCCCTGTGGTCTTTTTTATTAAGGGCACTAATACCATTCATAAAAGCTCCACTCTCATGACCTAACCACCTTCCAAAGACCCCACCTTCTAATACTGCCACATTGAAGGTAGTTGTAGATTACAGGACATGAATTTTGAGGCGATATTAAGCATCCAATCTGTAACATCCAATCACTGGAAAACAGGAAATTGTCCTACACACTCCTGAATTCTTCAGGAAGGATTTTTTTCTTAAACTGAAGAAGACAGATACTGAGGTAGAGTGGAATTGGGGCCCTGGAGTAGGTGGGCAAGGTGGTGGAAAGAGGAATGACAAGCATGTGGCAGCAGTGCTGCCCAGTCTCTTCCTGGTCCTGGCTGTAGGCTGTCCCAGAGAAGGCTAGACTTGGCTTCTACAACTCTAACCTTGAAGCACCATTGCCTCAGTCTGTATGCTCTCTGTATAAAGTAGTCTTTGAATCAGAAAGATTAACAATAAAGACATGAATAAAGCCTATACCAGGCAAATGAAGTACACTATAAAATAGGAGTAGCAGTATTAACATTAAAACACTTTAAAGAAGAAAGCAGAAAAGTCAAATATCAGTTCACAAAGTACCAATCCACCTAGCATTAGAAATGCTAATGTATATATTGGCAAAACTAAATGATAATGTGAGAAAGTAGCAAAGGGACCAAAAATCCTAAACATTTGGGAGTTTGAACAACTGGTTCTAAATGAAAATTAAAAATTACAGTCTTTTTAGGTATCTATGAAAATTCTGGAAGGCCAGGGGAACAGTTGTTTATTCAAAGTAACATCAAATTCTTTTTTTATTGCACAAGAACTAGTTTTTTAAATGAGTAAGTACTAGCCAATCTTAGTTAAGTATGATTATTAATAGGTTAAAGAATATTAATAAGGAATCTAAGTTTACAGTAAGTTTGCATGACACTAACTCTAAAATGGAAAACAAAATAAAATATATTAGAAAATACTGCAGAACCAGTCTCAGAATAGGAAAAGCCATTTGATGGGGGCTGTCACAGGCAGAAACTAGATTTGACTAGAGAAACAAAACCCACATTTGTTTTAATGTGGCAATAAGCATTAACAAAGTTAAAAGGAAAAGGACAAATTATTTGCAACTTCTAGGAGATGTTAAATTCTTGGAAATTAATGAGAACAGTGAATATCCAGATTGAATAATGGCCAGAGAAAATATAAATCAAAATAATAGGTTGCTAAAACAAAAAGCAAGACTAGTATTGGCAAAGATGTAAAATGCATGCTGTAATTCTCAAAATTGGAGAGGATGTGAGGGAACAGACTCTCATGTAGTGCTGGTTCAAGTCTAAAGTCAGCAACTTTTCTGTAGATTACTATGGTGCCCTATAAAATGTCTATGCTTTTTAACCCAGGAATTGTACTTCCATAGATTTTTTCTTGAAATAAGCCAAAGTACAAAGTTTATGGCAATGTTGTTTTATAATTTAAGAGTGACTCTAATCTAAATGCCCCGACAATATGGTATTGCTTGAGTTATATATGGTACCTCTATGTAAGTCATTAAAATTCATGTAGGTCATTATTTAAAGAAGTAGAAAAAGTATGTAAAGTATTGTGCATTTGTCTTGGAACTTGATATTCCCTCCCTGGAAATCTCTTCTCCCAGAACTCTCTTGGTTAGAGCCTCACTTGCTTCATAACTCTTCTCAAATGTCATCTTGTAAGTGTGGCTTTTCCTCTTCTTTTTACATATATATAATGATTTCTCACAGTCCTGTCTTTCTTTAACGCTTATTTTTCTCTATAGTATTGTATCATACTAAGTAAGTATAGAACATCTGGTGTGTGTATGTTCATTGTTTTGTCCTCAGTACGCAAAACAGTGTTTCCCAAGTAGAAGCCTTGTCACAGATACTTCTTAAAGGTTGAATATGTTTATAAAGATACTAAGTGGAAAAAATTAATTTACAGTAGAAACTGATCTTTTTGTGGAAAAATTATATTTGTATGCATATTATATATGTGATTTCCAAATGGGGAATTCTGAGTACTTTTTACTACCCTTATCCTTTTCTGCATGAAGTGAGAATGTAATGGTTTTATAATCACTGAAGGAAGATAAGTAATTTTATGGGGAAAGAAAGGGTGACATATGGGCCTCTTTTTAAATATGCAAGAATTGATGAGTCACTGAAACCAAAGTTGCTGACACTGCCTTGACTTTTGCTCTTATAGGTAGCACCCCCTCCGCCCCCACTTACTGATACACCTGACACAGCAAGTACTGGTGAAGGTTTACCAACAACCATGGGAGGACCTCTTCCTCCACATCTGGCTATCAAGGCAGGTAAGGGACTTGAATGTGGACACAACTGAGAAGAAGATACAATATTGCTTGGTTATTATCTCTTACTTGAACAGAAATAACTACAGTAAACTTTTAATATTGAGAGAACCCAAGGCCTTCATAAATTCACAAATACCAGGAGATCATTTAATTTCTCTTATAAAAAATGTTATACAGCTTAATTCCTTGCTGTCATTAACTTTTCCTAATTTTTTATCTCTGGATAGATTTTGTACAGTTGAGAACATTTGGTTAAAGGGTCTTATTTATTGTCCATTCTTGTTTCTAACTTGTTCCTACCAAGTATATTGTAGACTTGTTTGTTTACCTATAGATCCAAGACATTGCTGAATTTCATATTCCAAAACCTATATTACCAAAATTGTTTTTGTCCACTGTAGGGTAAATTAACCAGAATATTGGTCAGATCACTTAAGTCTGAGATCCAATACTTAAGAAATGAGAATAGCAGTAGTATTTACTTCATAGAACTGTTGTGAGGAGTAAATTTAGTTAAAAGCATTTAAAATGGAGGAGTTAATAACCAGTCAATATTAAAGTACTATTTTTAATATACTCTTTCTTATCAAGATGAGTCACTTTCATATAACTTTTCAGCATCTTAGGCCCATCATAAGTACTGGCAGTTAACTTTCCTTCAGGGTCATACTTAGCAATGAACAGTTTTATCATTTAATCAATTATTACATGTGTAACAACTTGAAAAACAGTTTTAACTGATGACGTATGCTAGATTGACAGTCACTTAGGATCATTACTAGTAGCTTCCCCCTTCATACCAGCCTTAGGATTAGCAATTTAGACCTATACTTGAGTCATGTAATACTTTGCAAGTAAGTCATGGAGATTTGGGCCCTTTCCCAAATAATTGAAACCTTGGGTTTCTAATAATGGAGTGCCAAAATCTGAATTAGGAAAATTCTTTGAAGTATTTAGGATCTTCCTACAGTTTGATTCATCAAGAGAACAATCATTTTCTTTTCTTAACAGAAAATAATTCTGGAATTGGGGCTTCTGGCTATGGCGTTTCAGGGCCCACCTGGGATCGCGGAGCCAATTTGAAGGATTATTACGCGAGAAAGGAAGAACAAGAAGTACAAGCGGTAAGACTCGCCCTGTGTTACATCTCCCAGAATGTGTGATGAGGACTTAGTTTACAGCAAGGTTTAAGATATTTGCAAGTTAGTAATTTAGTGACTCTTTCAACTGGTTATTTGAGAGTATCTATTAAATCTGGTCACTAGAACTGTCTGTGAAATAAAACAGAATTTTTTCTGATAGTGATAAAATATGTCCTCATCTGCTTTATAGTAAATGTAGTTATCTTTATAAACCTCATTTCATGATCACTTATAGTAAAAATGTATTAATAGGACAGGTACTTTTCCACTTACCATATTTAAAGTGTCAAAACCAGCATACAAAAATTTGTCAAAGATTTCTTAGGAACAATTTAAATATAGTACATTAATAGCTTTTAATACAGTAGGGCCATCAGATACAGAAAAAACTAATTCTGGCTTAATTTTGACAAGGATTAGAAACTATTAAAACAGTTCTTGCATTATCAAAGTATTGTTAGAAATTTCTATGCCCTAAATGCACATAGCTAAACTAAAAATTAATGCTGCTAAATTTAATTGTCATTGATTCAACAGACTCTAGAATCAGAAGAAGTAGATTTAAATGCTGGGCTTCATGGGAACTGGACCTTGGAAAATGCTAAGGCTCGTCTGAACCAGTATTTCCAAAAGGAAAAGATCCAAGGAGAATATAAGTACACCCAAGTGGGTCCTGATCACAACAGGTTTGTTGTTTCACTCTTTCCCTTCTATAGTTAAGGTTGTTTTGTATATTCTATTTTTTTATATGTGTTACCTTGTTCATTTTGTGGATTAGCCATGAATTGTGAAAAAAAAAAACTTTCTTTGAACAAGAAAAACTCATTGATTTGTACTGTGCAGTTTATCATTGTTTTCACTGAGGACTGTGATTGTAGCTTTGTAAGTTCTGCAAAAAGCTGCCGTTTGTGTCGCTATTCTTTTAAGGTGCTCATTTGAATCTGAGAGGCACTAATCATAGCCGCTAGCAGTGACTTGTCTATAATTGACTTAAGAATCAGCCAGAGGTGGTAAATTTATTCACTGTGGTATTGTTAGAGGCAGTCATAATGATTATTTCTTTAATCAATCAAATTATATGCTAAAGTTTAAGAGTCTCAGAGGTAGATTGCATTGCGTCTAGATCCAGATTTCCCTTCAGTTTTGAAAGTTGCCAGCTCTCAAGAGACCTGTTGTTGAAGTTTCAGGGGCTCACTGTGAAGCTGAAGGACAGCCTCAGTCTTTGAGTTAAATTAACCTACTTTGATTCTGTTCAATTTATAAAACTGAACATAGAGGGAGCTATAACAGTGCCAGTATGTTTCTCAGCCTGCTTGCTATTCTTCCTAAGAGCATTCCAGGGTGTAGTAATTATTACTCCCAGGAAGGCTCATACGGATTAGACTCTTCTGGGAGCACTGTATTTTTTTTTTGGAAGAGAAGGAAGGTTATAATGGAAACCTGGGTGATTTAATTTGCTGTCCTTTAGTTGTATTAAATAATTACCTAAAATACATTAGAAGTGTTTTTCTTGAAAAATCAGTGTTCTCCCTTGGATGCATCTAGCTACCCTAAAGTGGCTATTACTGAAAGCAGAATGACACTGTAGTCACAATACTGTTACAAGCATGTTTCCCTTGCTTCCCACTGTTTTGTTCAATCCTGAATTCTCAAATACACAATTCTGATGTCAGGTTTTTAAGAACCCTCAGAGATTGTAAAGGAAAAGATGACATTTGCTAATGTTTTGTCCTTCTGAACTGATCAAGCTTAGTAACACTTGGTGACTTTAAGAAGAGTTAGATAATGTAAGTGTGCCTGTAGCATGTAAACATTTTTTTTAATACCAGCATCCTATCACTGACTTATGATACAAAGAATTAAAGAATTCAGGATATGATGATGAGGGAGGCAAAGGCAGATCTAGGACAGCATTGCTCCTTGTATGTCCTTTATTTAAAGGCACAACAGACAGCAACACCAGAGATCTGTATTCGTACACACATGTGCTGCTGCTTAGGCTGAACTAAGCAATCACATGGGAAACTATTGTAAACTGATTTCTGGTGTCGCTGTTCCCCCTAGGTGGAGGAGAATGAGATTGAGTGCTGACTTTAAGCCTGGCTGAGAAACATGCTGGCATCGGTGTCATTAATGAAAGGGTGGATGTTGTTCCCCTGAAAGCCAGTGGCCTTTGATCCCTGAAGCCGCTGTGCCTGAAGGTCAGTTCACAAGAGGTATAGGAAGGACTCCAACGTTTATTGTTTTCCTAAACCTCACCTAACTTTTTATTCACAGCACAAAGTCAAGGTTAGAATATACCTGAGCAGTGGAAGAATTAGAAAGCATAGTTTTCAAAGGACGGTTTTTCCCTTATAAAAATCTAATTCATGCCCTAGAATCTGTTAGCATTTTTAGCCATAATTTGCAAAAATATTTTATTCACTAGGACTTGATTTAAATAAATGTGATACAAATAAGTAAGGGCTGCTTCCAACTGCAGGCAGATACCAGAGCCCTGCCTGAGAAGCCACTGATACATGCATGGTGTTTGTATGTCCATGTGTATGTATGCATGCATGCATATGTTTAGCTTATCTTAAGATATTGAAGTCATTACTGGTGGCCCATGCAAAGGAATCTTAAAATAATTACAACTATAATTTGAAGAGTTTTGGGCCAGTTTTATTTCTTGGCCTCAAGCTGAATGGAAAATTCCTTTTCATTGAATGTGTTCCAGCTGTTCTAGCTATTCAGACTGCAACTGTTGGAATAAGAGTAAGAGTAAGTACAGAGTCTAAAATCCTAATATTTTCTTTTCATGAACAATTGGCTTATCAACTTTGATTATAGCTGTCTTGTGCCATGTTGTACATTATTTGAAGTGTCAATGCTTCATTTGTTCTAGGATTGAACAGAAATAAATGGTTGTAATGGTTTCTTGCTGTAATTTGCCTAAGCAGTTGGAAAGTTTGCCTGATTTGGGAGTCCTGCATTTAGTAATTTCTAACAGTGAAATTCCTAACCTTGTTTGTATATGTTGTTGCAGGAGCTTTATTGCAGAAATGACCATTTATATCAAGCAGCTGGGCAGAAGTAAGTGTTACTGCTTCCCTGATACGCTGAGCCTTGTATAGTGGAATAATGTTCACGTTAAAGCCTTGAGCTATATATAATATGAGCTCTATTAATTGAAAGAGATATGGTAGCCTCTAGGGTATTTTAGCATATTAGTAATTATGAATTGGAAGGCCCAGTTTGCATGTGAAAAGATCACACCAATGTAATTCAAAGGCTAAGAGATAGTAGATTACTTAGGAGTCTGCCAGTGTCAAGGAACTTTAAGTCATTTTTTATCCTTGTAAAAACGTTATTTCAGTTTGTGCAGGTAAAACTAGCTTAGCTGGATGAATTTAAGAAATTTAGAAAGATGATAGGATTGGAAGCCTAAAGGTGGGTGTGTAGCATTTAAGAGTCAGTCAGGAAGCGAAGGTGAGAAAATTACCCTGGGGATGTACACTTTAGGAATAGATGGGGATTATTTCACTAAGGAAGTAAAAAGGCAAAGATATGATGCATGTATTCCTTATTCTTAGGCAGTAAATTTAAGGTAGAGTGTGTTATCCTTGAAAGGAAGAAACCAGCCTTATGTGCATGGTTTGGTTACAAGTATTGTGACTGAATAAATCACACCTTACATTACCTGGGCTCAGTTTAGTTATCTGCAAATTGAGAGAAATGGCCTTAAGATTCTTTCCAGCAAGAAACCAGCCTTATGTGCATGGTTTGGTTACAAGTATTGTGACTGAATAAATCACACCTTACATTACCTGGGCTCAGTTTAGTTATCTGCAAATTGAGAGAAATGGCCTTAAGATTCTTTCCAGCTTGAGATCACTGCAACTAACGCATAATGATTTAGATGGTAGTATAGGAAACACTTCCTGATAGAATGAATCATCAGGAGATGGTGCTGATTTTTTTAATCCTAAACATTAAAAGTTGTTTTGAGTGGATGGGAAACATTAAGAGAAGAGCATAAAGGCTGTCTGACTTCTGTCAGCTCCATTGATCTGACCATGAGAATTAATCTGACCAAATTGACTAGTTAGGCAGAAAGGTATCTGTGCCCCTTCCTTTCTTTCTGTCGTCTTTCCTAAAGCTGGATGATACTGGGTAATAGGAAGCTTTCTGTTACAGCATTTTCTTTTTAAGGATATGAGTAACTACCAGCTTCAGTCTAATGCCAGGATCATCAAGCTATAGCCATCTAGCCAAACACTGCTCACTGCCTGTTTATAAATAAAGTTTTACTGGAACACAGCTATACTCTAGTGTACATCAGGGGATAGCAAACCTCTGTGAAAGGCCAGATCATAAATATTTTAAGCTTTATGGGTCACATATGTAACACATTGTTATTTTTGTCTTATATTTACAACTCTTTAAAAATATAAAAAAACATTTTTAGTTCTTGGGCCTGTAGTTTAAGTGTTGTCTATAGATGCTGTCACTGTTTAAAGGCAGAATTGAATAGTTGTGATAGAGACCATGTGGCCTACAAAGCCTAAAATAATTATTACCTAATTCTTTATAGAAGATGATGACTCCTGGTCTGGAACATAACCACTTTGGACATGTTTATTCCTTTGTTTTGCATTTTGACCCTTTTTGGCCTTTTAAAAGTGAAACTTTTCTTGCCAGATTTTAATTTTATGCCAAATGGTATTATTAATGACAGCTTTGTTGAAATAGGAGAATTGCTTTTATAATGATGATTTGTATGTTTCTTAGTATCAGCCTACAATCAAGATGGTTGGTTATGTAGTTAATAAGCTGTTAGGGAATTGCTTTTGGTTCGCAGTTGGAATGAAAAAGAATGTGTAAAACCCATGGCATTTTAGAATGGCTTTTGTACCTGAGCCCCAAGTTGCTTATGATAAGATGTTTTTTTACTCAGATGATTTATCTTTCTGTCTTCAGTAATCCTAATCTTAAATTATAGGGATTTTTGCACGTGAACATGGATCAAATAAAAAGCTGGCAGCACAGTCATGTGCCCTGTCCCTTGTCAGACAACTCTACCATCTTGGAGTGATTGAAGCTTACTCTGGACTTACAAAGAAGAAAGAAGGAGAGACAGTGAGTCTTTAGACTTAGTTTAGTAGCTCAGAGAGATATTGTAAGATTCAGTGTAGCTTTTTGTTTAGTATTTGGCTGAAGAAGTTTAATTCATAGTTCTAGGAATCTTAATCTGAAGGCATGGAAATGGCCTTACTAATCATCTGTGTCTGGCATGAGCTGTATCCATAGTGAGCAATGAGTAAATGAGTTTTGAAGTAATGACTCACTGTTGACTTTAGGAATATTAGGCCTGGGTCAACTACATACTCTTAACCCTTCAATAATAGATTTGAGTCGAGCTCATATCGTTGTTACATGGTTTTAACGGCCATCCTTTTTCTGTAGGTGGAGCCTTACAATGTGAACCTCTCTCAAGATTTAGAGCATCAGCTGCAAAACATCATTCAAGAGCTAAGTCTTGAGATTGTGCCCTCAGTAAGCATACAGCTATTTAGTACACCTTTGTAAGGAAATTCTCTAGTCAGACAAGCAACTGGTATTGCTTTTTTGTTTTCCTTATTTTCTAATAGCCTGATGATCCTTCCGTGCCTGTTACACTCAACCTTGGCAAATTGGCTCACTTTGAACCATCTCAGCGACAAAGCCAAATGGGTGTGGTTCCTTGGTCACCTCCACAGTCTAACTGGAATCCTTGGACTAGTAGCAACATTGATGAGGGGCCCCTGGCTTATGTGAGTACCATCTTGTTTTTGAGATCAGACTCTAGTGTTTTATTTTTGAAATATATTTTATTAGGATGTCTAGGTGAAAAATGGATTCAATTTGAAGTTGAGTTATGTGTTTTGTTTGTTTGTTTTTGACTATTGCCTTCTTTCCCATTTTGTAGGCTACTCCAGAACAAATAAGCATGGATCTCAAGAATGAACTAATGTACCAGCTGGAACAGGATCATGATTTGCAAGCAGTAAGTCTGTGAAGTATTAGTCCTATGGTGCTCAGAGCTTTAGAACTTTCCAGGTATGGGCAAAAGGACAGTAAATAATATATTTTGCCCTTTGTAGGAAAGTAGATCAAAGATACCAAATTTGCTAATTCTAGTTAACTTCTGAGGGTAGTTGTTGTGAATTAAAGACCTGGAATTCTTAGTTATTGGAAGTGAAGGGATTTGGGGTAATAATTCTTACTTGGTGTTTTTCAGTATTTTCTGAATAAAACATTAAAATATTAGAAGAAAGGGATGTATATATAGAATATTCAGGGAAAAAACAGGAGTAAAATAAAGGTGTGGACAAGACCACAAAATAGATTCTTCAGAAACTAAACAAAAAGTGGCAGTTTTATTAGAGATATAAATGTATACTTTTGTGAAAGGTGTATTGTGAATACAAAGCCAGTGGAAAGGAGTATGGTTTTATAGAAATGGCAAATTCTTTCAACTTAAGACTGTTGCTTCTAATGTGTATGTTGATCGAAATCTGACTGAGGTATAACTTCTCTAATACAGATCTTACAGGAGAGAGAATTACTGCCTGTGAAGAAATTTGAAAGTGAAATCCTAGAAGCAATTAGTCAAAATTCAGTTGTCATTATCCGAGGCGCTACTGGATGTGGTAAAACCACACAAGTTCCCCAATTTATTCTAGATGACTTTATCCAGAATGACCGAGCCGCAGAGTGTAATATTGTAGTAACTCAGGTAAGAAGCAAGCCAAATTACAAGGTATCTGGTGTGGATACAGTTTGAGAAGTAGAAATAACCTAGAGCCAGACTATTCCTAATTCTTTGATCAGTTCTATTTTAGCCAAGCAAGGTTCTGAAAATGGTAGAACAGTAGTAGGCTCTTCAAAGTTTAAGAAAACAAACCATAGAAAAAACCTGAATCTTGGTCTAACCTCCAGTATCCTTCACTGATAAGCTGAACTAAATCTGGGCCCTGGGGGAGTCTTTGGTCCCAGAATCAAATAAGATTGACAGTACTTTGTCCTTAAGTTCGCATACAAGTCTTGGTCCTTTCTAATCACCTTAACACTTGATAAAAACCAGTTGGAGCACGAGTAGGTAAGCTAGCAAAATAGATAGTGGCTGATTTTAACTGAATGCTTACTGTGTGCCAGGTTCTGTTTTAAACAGTTGATTTTTTAACTCATTTTCAATGAGTTCACTATAACTCTAAGATTTAATTACTGTTTTTTTTAGTACGTCTCTTTCAATAAATTACGGTACAAACAGATTAAGTAAATTGCCCAAGGTTAACATAGGAAGTGGTGAACTAGGATATGAAACAGTCTGCCTTCAGGATTCTTCCTTTTAACTACTACATTGTATTACCTTACCAGCAATAAGAATGCCTGCACATCTGTCCCAATACTTAGGGAAGAACTAATTAGCTCTTCCAAGCCTTCTCAGGTTAAAGAAGTTCCCATCAGCACCAACCCTGTGCTTCTGGCACTTGGAAGGGGAGCGCTGCAAGCATCCAGCTGGCACCTCTCGTGCTGGCTCAGACCTTGGCTTAACCTGGGAAGCGTGATTGATAACTGAGAGAGAGAGAGAGAGACAGAGTCGTGAACCTTGAAACAGCACAAAATGTTTGTGCAAGTGCATCTGTGGGTACATGTACAAACATTTTTTAATGTTTCTGAATTTGTGATATATCTTAATAATTGCTCTCTGTGTTTTATATGTTGGGGGTTTTGCCTAAAAAAATTACTGCCTAAAAAATGAATGTTGCTTTTAAAATTGATGATATCTTAGGTTTGAAAAAACAGTGTACATTTTTCCCATAGCTTTCTTTTCAAAATACTCTTTTATTGCCCTTCCCACTCCCAAAACTGAATCCTTTGCTTCGCAGTGAAAGTTTCAACCTCAAATACTGTGATCGGTAAAATATCCTTGTTCTTTAATGCTCACCTGCTTTTTCAGGAGGTGTGTAGTTCAGGAGGAGCCGTTTTATAGAAGAGCCCACCCTCCTTCCTTAACCACCACCCTCCATTTCTAGTCTCAACAACAGTCAGTCATATAGGCAGAAATACAGATTCAGCAAATGAGTTTAAGACCAGTGTTCTCACTCAGAAGTTTTTTGCATGTCATGAGCAGAATAAAACTAATTCCTGCCCAAGTGAGAAGTGTTTTTTACTGCCCAGCTAACTTATCAAAGCTAAGTTGTTCTAACCAAAAATGGTTTTTGTGTTGTCTTCAGCTTTACATAATTTGCTTACTAGTCCCCCAATAATTTGGACGTTTCCAATGGTTTCTTCTGCAAAATACATGGGTTTCTATGTATAGGTTAACAAACCTAAGAGTGAGCTACAGAGTAGAATGGTGGCTCATATGTTTCTCTACCTCTTTTTGAGTATGAAAACAGCTTTCATTTTTCCACTTGTCCTCCATTTACTTTCCTTCATAAAGTGATAATAGTCATGGAGTTGGAAGGTACTTCAGGGAATTACTCCATTGTGCTACTCAGGGTATACTGTTCATAGTAGTGGTTACTTAGTTTGTGTTTGAAATTTTCCAGTGGCATGGAAATGTGGCCTGTGTATTCTGATTTTGGATGAATGAGTCACCTTTCATATCAGATCTACATCCTGTGGCTTCCATCTTTTTGTCCTAGTACTTGTCCAAAAGTCAATCTCTGGTACCTCTTATCTGTAATTGTCTTTAAAAGTTTAAAAACTGATATAGTATTCTACTTTATCTCCTTTGTCTGAGAAACATCAGTAGTTCAGCCATGAAGACAGCGTCTAAGATTTGCTTCACCATATTCAGATGCATCAGCGTCCTACCTGGAATATAAAAGGTTGGCCTGAGCACACCTACTGGTCATTGTAGAATGCAGTTTTTAATATTTTTAATATTATATAGTACTTCTGTTAAGGCAGTTTGAGATAGCATTAGTAATTTTTGTATCATTAGTAATACCATTATGTCATTTTGCCTTTTCTTCTACGAGCAGCCATATATAGGAAACTACATAAAGTCATTACCTAAATTTTTGTCTACTTGGTTTAAATGTACTGTCAAGTCATAGAGCTCGAGTTGAGAGTTATTATGGACTGAAGTAAAAAACAATTAGTAGCTCAAAGCATGACCTCTAACCTTACTACCAGCCTTAGTGCAAATTCTATAGCAGACTCATCGGATTCTTGTGCTTTCTGGCTGTTTACACGTGAGCCATTCAAAGCTTCTGGTCTGAGTGCAGAATATTTGAAAATAGGAAATAGTCATTTTCTGACCTTAAAGATGTTTGAGAGAGATTAATTAAAATAAGTAGGATGCAAATCCAGCATGGGAGATTAGTATCTGTGAACATCTTGGCAATCGTGCAAACACCCCAAGGAACCATGATTTCTGGATACAGCTGTTCTTCATATAAAATAAATGGAATAGAGAAAGTAGAGCCTGATGTTTTGTGATATCTGGTGCCACAGAAATCTTCTATTTTACCTCAGCCTAGTTCTTTTATCATGTGTGTAAATATGATAAATAGAGGTACAAAGTCAGGGAGCTGTACCCCTTCGTTTTGAGACCTCTAAGATAAATAATTACAGTTCCGGATAAATGTCAAAAGGGGTACATCAAAGATGAGGATCCTAGAATACTGCAAAGGAACACATTCAGACACGTCTTTAGCCGCCTGTGGTATGGAAAGTATTACCCAGTGTCTGGGATCTTAGCGATCACAGTTAGTGCTCTGTAAAATACAGCTGTTTTAATTAATTCAACATAGAACTGTGAGGAAAGAGATAATCACTTAAAGCCTCATGCTGCTAAGGCTGAACTCCAGGAAGGAACTTAGTGCAAATTCTATAGCAGACTCATCGGATTCTTGTGCTTTCTGGCTGTTTACACGTGAGCCATTCAAAGCTTCTGGTCTGAGTGCAGAATATTTGAAAATAGGAAATAGTCATTTTCTGACCTTAAAGATGTTTGAGAGAGATTAATTAAAATAAGTAGGATGCAAATCCAGCATGGGAGATTAGTATCTGTGAACATCTTGGCAATCGTGCAAACACCCCAAGGAACCATGATTTCTGGATACAGCTGTTCTTCATATAAAATAAATGGAATAGAGAAAGTAGAGCCTGATGTTTTGTGATATCTGGTGCCACAGAAATCTTCTATTTTACCTCAGCCTAGTTCTTTTATCATGTGTGTAAATATGATAAATAGAGGTACAAAGTCAGGGAGCTGTACCCCTTCGTTTTGAGACCTCTAAGATAATTACAGTTCCGGATAAATGTCAAAAGGGGTACATCAAAGATGAGGATCCTAGAATACTGCAAAGGAACACATTCAGACACGTCTTTAGCCGCCTGTGGTATGGAAAGTATTACCCAGTGTCTGGGATCTTAGCGATCACAGTTAGTGCTCTGTAAAATACAGCTGTTTTAATTAATTCAACATAGAACTGTGAGGAAAGAGATAATCACTTAAAGCCTCATGCTGCTAAGGCTGAACTCCAGGAAGGAGTAATAGGATTTAGAGAGAAAATGAGATCAGATATATACAATAAAAATGTATAGAAAACCCCATCCTGGAGGATAATTTGAAGTATTCTTTTGGAATGACTTAACATTAATCCTTAATTTCTCATCACCACTACTTTCTAACTAGTTAAGTTAGATATTGTGTTATTTTAAACATACTTGATAATCCAAAGGCAACGTAAGTTGCAACAAGAGGCAGGACAATTGGGAAAAGGATTAGATTGGGAATAGAGAAAATCAGTATTATGTCTAAAGTCATTCATATAAATTTAGGCAAAATAATTTAATCTCTGAGCTTGTTTTTATCAGAATAAAAAAAGAAATCTCACTATTGTTCTGGAGCACAAAACAATAGTATACTTCTGCAGCTGTGGTTTTTACTGTCATGTGACACAGATGTTAATTAAATTGTTCTGGACGTCCCTCCATAGCCCTGATGCTTCTTTATATTGTAGTGTACAGAACATTTCCGTGTACTGTAGAGTAGTTGAGAGGAACAGTTAGGCCATGTGTGCAAAGGTGTAGCTATGCAGGTGTAGAGAGATGATGATGTTTTACTGGTGAGCCTTGCCTTGTAGTTACTCTACGTGTGACAGTATGTAAAACAGTTAATGAGGCCCAGAACATCTAGGGAAAAGGAATAAATTATTCAAGGATGAGTAGAGCAACTTCATGGGCTATCAAGTGGCATGTAGTCTGAGAAAGTTATTAAACATTCATTAGTGGTCTTTTACATTTAAGTTCTGTTCTCCCACACAAAATGCCTATCCTGCGAATATTTATACCAAGCCTAAGAATTACAATGAGAATTAGAAGATTACTTTTCATTGCTTTTTTTGACTATAAAAGTAATACACCTATTAGGAAGATATTGGAAAATAGAGTAAATTTTAAGAGAAGCCAAAGCCCACTCAAGATTCTGCCATCTAGAAGTAATTATTTTTACGCTTGGTCTTCATCTCTTCACACTTTACGTGTAGTCCCTGTACACCACCTTAACTCGTCCCCTTTATATAACAGCATGTTGTGGTATTAGAGTGGTAGCATACTTTTCTGATGACTTCATAAGTTAAATCATGGAGATTTATAAATACTGTTTCTAATATTTTGTTATGTATGCTGAGGCAAACATACTTGTATATAACATCTTACACACTCATTTGATTGTATCATTGGAGTAAATTTCTAGAATTGTTGGGTCAGAAGGTATGCATATTTTATTTTTATGCATTTTGCCATACTGAGGAATAATCACAGATTGCTAATCAAATCAGCTAAGACTAAAAGAAGTATTTCTCTTTTTAGTATGAATTTTAAAAGGTTTTTTTTAAGTCAGGGCAGTTGAAGAAACTGGAAGCTTGTAAGTCAGACTACAATGTGGGAAAGAAATTGCAAGGTCATTTGTTTCTTTTTAGTTTGAATAATCATCTTGATATTAATCTTTTCTGTCCATACTGAAGGAAATTTGACCATTGGGACTTCTGAAGATGGTGTTTTAGTACCTCATTAATTTGTAACAACCTCTATCAAGGATGGCTTCCTTGAGTCTTTAAGACAGTTGTGTTGAGGGCTCAGTACAGTTAACTACAGTAGGTACTGCTTAAGGAATATGCCATCTTCTGTCCCTGCTCTTTTTAGAAGGCTGCAAACTACAAAGGTGATAGGCCTGGAAGTAGCCCCAAGGTGACAAAAGCAACCATAGGAACAATAACGATGACTGCATCTCAAAAAAGGCAAATACCCGATCGATTTGTAGCTCTCTTAGAAGTCAGCTATTCAGTAGAAATGTTGAACACTGTGGGAGAGACAAAAATACAGAAATAATTCTATCATTTTTTAATGTGTGCCTTCACTGTGGCCGGCAGTTACAGGAACAGGCTCCCTATGCGTGTTCTGTTTCTTTCCCATTTGAAAAATCACTCTGATTATCACTAAGAGTCTAGGCCAGTGGTGAAATTTTATTTTCCATAAAAATCTTGGAATCACTTTATATACATATGAAAAAAGGGCATTTTTAAGTGTCTGCCATAGAATTAAGTGGTAATTTTTTTCTGTTCTGATTAAAAAAAATAATAAATTTTGGAATTTCCTAAAAAGATACCATTACTATTATTCTTTCTGTTAATTACTGAGCTGACTGGCAGTGAAACAGATTTAAATACAAAAACTTAGTAACTATAGTAAAAAGTATAGCTATAATTTTGTAGCTTTTAAATCACTCTTTTTCTTGTCTCAGCCTAGAAGAATCAGTGCAGTTTCTGTGGCAGAACGAGTTGCATATGAGAGAGGAGAAGAGCCTGGAAAAAGCTGTGGCTATAGTGTTCGATTTGAGTCTATACTTCCCCGTCCTCATGCCAGTATAATGTTTTGTACTGTAGGTCAGTAATGTGTTTTATTTTGATTTTCACTTGGGGTTTATATTGTGTTGTTTGTGAAGAAAATTTGGTAACAGCACAGAATGGCTGCAAACAATAAATCAAGGAACCAGTCTCAGAATTCTTGTTTAAGTACAACTTTGGCATTGTACCAGCTGGTTGTTCTAGCTTAGAGAACCAGCTGGTTGTTCTAGCTTAGAGAACCAGCTGGTTGTTCTAGCTTAGAGAAAGTGAAATCCACTAAAGTTAATAGAGTTGAGTCTTCTTATACTCTTTTCATTAAATAAATTTGTTTCAGCATACACTGTCAACTTTGAAAGTACTTTCTTTTCTAAGGTGATGCTGGGGTTGTATTAGTTGAAGCATAGTTGATTGTCTAGAAATTTGTTTCTTTTCACTTTCCTGTATTACCCTACCTTAATCAACCTTAGAAACTCATCTCCAGTTGTTGCTCTGATTTTCTTTCCAAAGGTGTGCTCCTAAGAAAATTAGAAGCAGGCATTCGAGGAATCAGTCATGTAATTGTAGATGAAATACATGAAAGAGACATAAATGTAAGTAACTTAATGAGTTATGGTAAGGTACTAATGCTAATATTCTGAAAAAAGGGAAATCAGGGTGGAATATCTTTGCTTTATTCCCCTTTTCCCACTTCTCACATCTATCAAAACCATGAACTTGAGTCACTAAGATAGTGGACTTTCTAAGCAAGGCTATTAAACCTTTTTTTTTCTTGTTAAACTCACAGAATGCTAAAAGATTTTATTGTAAATAAAGTAAGTGTAATTACAGTGAGCATGAAGAGCTAGCACAGCTTAGCAGCTAAACTAATGATTTATGACTGAGTTTCTGATGGAATTGTAAGAATCAACTTCTTTGAATTGGAGTTTTATTTTTTTATAATATATAATTTTATAATTTATAAGTCATACAGTTAAATTACTAGTAATTATATTGATATAATTAATATGTTTTTGGATATTTGCCAGCTCTAAGCTTTCCAGATACTAAGGATAGTCATGCCAGAATTAGGAAGAAAGTAGAGTTTCATATCCTTCCCTCTTTTGGCTCTTGGCAAAACTTACAGAGAATTAATTTATTATGTGACTGTATAATTCAAAGACTGATACCATAAAAGCAGTGACTAGTTTTTCTGCCACTATTTTACATATCCAAACAAAAGTGTCAGTGGATGGACAGTATGTCATTCAAATGGTCGCTAAGCTTCTGTTGATTAAAACATTTATTGGCGCTCCTCCTTTTTAGGAAATAACTTTTATAGCTGTTGATAATCATTTTAATTTTGTCAAAACTTCAGCCTTAGTGGTTGAGCTAAAGCACTACAAAAGTTTGGATGGTTTATCAGGCGGCTTTTTAAATCAGAAACCTATTTAGTGGAATCAACTTTTTGTTGTTTAATCATTCAAAATCTTGAAAACCTTCTAGTTTTTTTATTATAATTACCCAAAATTGAGTGTTTCAGTATGTTTGTATTGTTCCTAGAGTTTAAATCATTCCAAATACTAGAAACCTGGATCATCATTAGTATTTTCCTAGAAGTATGTGGTTTTGGTCAGCTTTCCTTGAAAAATTATCAGGTCTCTATTAATGTACCATTCACAGTAAAAAATGGAAAAATGCCTTTGCAGAAGATTTTTATGTTCCCTTTAAATGAACCTTATCCAACAGGGAAAATGCAAAAGAACCTACAGTCCAATTGCTATAAATGATAGAATAGGAAAATTTAACAATGTGGCTGAACAAAAAGTTAATATATAAAAGTCAGTTGCATTTTATGTATAATAAACAAAACAGCTAGAAAAAATAAAAAAGATACCACTACAGTAGTCAGAATGATAAGTAAGAATAAATCCAACAAAAACACATGCAAGACTTCTATAGGAAAAAGAAGTTTATTACAGAACATTGAAAAGACCAGATATCATGGTGATGGCTGGGTGGGCTTAAATGAGTTATGGTAAGGTACTAATGCTAATATTCTGAAAACTATTAGTTGAACGTAATTCTAATCAAATTCCCAGCAGAGGTTTTCTAGGATTTAATAGTCTTGTTATAAATACTTAACAAGGAAGATTTATGGCCCAAATAACAAGGACTAGAATAGAATGGAGGGTCTTGCATTATAGATAGCAGGACTTAATTTGATGCTCTAATAATTGAGATGCATTTGACAGCTTGACCAGTGGAATAATACAGAGTGTAGAAACAGATGTTATGTTGTATGCACTGTTGGTATGAAAGGAGATGGCATGTCCAGGCCAGTGGGAGAGGGAATGGACTAGTCAGTCAAAGGAGCTTGAAACACATGATCATCCAGAAGGAAATAATTGAAATTGGATCCTTGCCTCATAACCGAATGCATGAGTAACTCCACATAGATTAAGAACTTAAATGCCAAAGCAATTTAAAAATTCTTAAATGGAAAATATAAGTAAACGTCTAGATAGCAGTGTCCAAAAGAAATACAAGGTGGTGAGCCACACACATAATTTTTAATTTTCTTGTAACATTTTAAAAGGAGAAAAGAAAAAGGTAAAATTAACTCAGTATATCTACAATGTTTTCAACATGTCAATATAAGAAATATATTGAAGATATTTTACATTCTTTTTTTTTCACATTAAGTCTTCAAAATCTGGCATGTATTTTATTTACACTTAGAGCACATCTCATTTTGGATTAGACATTTTTCATGTGGCCAATGGCTCGTCTGCTGGGCAACCTATGTCTAGAACTTATGGAAGGATTTCTTAAACCATGAACTGCACTAACCATAAGAGACTAATATTAAAAATTCAGGTCATTTTTATTAATTCAAAAGGTACTTGTAAAAAAAACCATAAGCAAGATCATTCCAGTATAGCCAACAAAGGATTTGTATAGAAATACATAAACACCTCCAAATCAGTAATAAAGGTACACATAACTCAATAGAAAAATAAGTTAAAAATACGAACAGGCATTTCACAAAAAAAAAAAGGAAAAATTTTTGGCTAGTAAACAGGAGGCTTTCAGTCTCACTGGTGAATAGGAAGGTATGGGTCAAGATCATAATAAGGTACTGCTTTATATCAATTTGAATAATAATATTTAAGTGATGATGCAAAGTGAGAATATTAGTAGGAGTAGCTCTTATCTGCTGCTCGTGGTGGAATATGAATTGATGGAACCACTTAGGAAAACAGTTGAGCATTATCTCCTGAAGTGTTCAACATTTATGTACCCTGTAACTGCAGTTCCAAAGCCACACTTAACCGTAGAAACCTGGCATGTAAACAGCAGGAGAAAAGAGTGTTCATAGTAACAAATGTTCACAATGGTTAAAATCCTGGAAACAACCCAGTATAACAGACAGCCCTGCCGTATCTCCCTACAGCAGGTACCACCAGACCCACTGGTTAATTAATTGGTGTACTTACACAATGGAATATTAAACAGTCATCAGAAAGATGTAACTGTTGTCATAACTAGTAACATATGGATGGATTCTAGCAGTGCTGTAGTATGTGAAACAAATCCCAAAAGATTACATGAAATGTCATATTACCATGAAGTTGAGAGTAATTCAGAAAACATGTATATACATATATGTGTGTAAATATGCATATATGTATACTTTAGATATCTGTATACATGAGAGGAAAGCTTCATGGAAAGGAATAATAGAAGAGAAAAGGAATAACACAAGATTCAGGATGGTGGTTTTCTCTAGTTGGGGGAAGCTGAGAGCAATGGGCACGAGGGCCACATGCCAGAGAAGAGTTTTGTTCTCACTTTCATGTTTGTACAGTTGGTAGAATAACAAATACTTTGTTTGAATGAACCATATTAAAACCCTCTCAGCATTTTTAAGATTAGCCTTACAGGTGATTGGATGATTGATTTTTTTGGCTCATCATGGCCTTCTCCTTTTCCCTAGTTATGTGCACTTTTAAATACAAATCTCATTGGAAAATTTGAGATGAATTCTTCACTCTTATTAATGTTTTTTTTCTCTTAACCTTCCTCTGTCCAAATAGCTCTCATTTCTAATTAGGCTACAAACTGTTATTAAAGCTATTTACTGCATCCCATTGTAATCTTTAATCTACATTTCCACAGGCCATCTAGAAACTGAATTTCACTGATCATGTATGACTATATAACACAAGAAGTCTTTTAGGTAAATCTCATTAATATGAACTTCCTGTGCAAATTTTTTTCATTTGTGTTTTAATAGACTGACTTCCTTTTGGTAGTGTTGCGTGATGTAGTTCAGGCTTATCCTGAAGTTCGCATTGTTCTCATGTCTGCTACTATTGATACCAGCATGTTCTGTGAATATTTCTTCAACTGCCCCATCATTGAAGTTTATGGGAGGACATACCCAGTTCAAGGTAAATTGTTGTGCGGGTGGGGTCGGGAGGGTGAACCTCTTTTGTGCAGTAGTGCTTGGGTGTTCGAAATCCTGTAGATTGGAGTAATTGTCTAAAGGATCTTCAAAGTACAGGCCAAATTAAGTGCATCGTAGCTTTCTCAGAGTTTCAGGCAAGCGGTAGTGAGCACAATCTGTGGAAGAAGTTTCTTTCACTGCTTGAGGTATTTGTATATCCAGGACATTTCTTGGATTTGAGCTTTACTTAAAGCCAGACTTAAATTTTGAAATTATATAGTTGAGTGTAAATCAGTACGACCCATTGATGTTTATGGGAAATACCTTAAAAATTTTAAGCAGCCATGGTCAAATAAAAAAGAGAATCCTCCTTTTTAAAGCCAGAGCAAGCAGATTTTGAAAGGAAATTCAGGTGAGTATTTCAAGGTCAAATACTTCTGATAGGTAAGAGCTTTATTTTCTTTAGAAGATTTATCCCCATTTTCTAGGTTAGTCATCTAGTAGCTTGATTTAAAAAGAAGAATTATGGCACAGTCTAATAGAGGGCATGAAAATAAGCTAAGAAATTTGCAGTGTAGGTAGGAATGGCTATGTCAGGGTGCAGTTTTTTTGAAATTCAAAACTAATGGTAGCTTGAAATAAAAGCCAGTGCAGTTGTATCTCACAACTGTAAGGCCAACAGTTCTAAAACTGCTTTATGTGTACACTGGGATTGAAAAAATAAGAAAATGGATGTAGGTGATGGGAGCCAGGTTTACCGTTGGAGTGAGAGTTTACAGGTAAATAGGAGGGAAGGCTTGAATGAACCGTGTGTTACTGGGTTACAGTAAGAACTGGTGTTAGATACAACTGGGCAGATACAGAAATAATGGTAAATGTGTATGGATACATGGGTTAGTATATATACATGAATTTCCTAGTTCTGTCCCATGAGCAGGCCTCAAACCAGTGAAATCTCAGTAGCAAGGAACATGCCCAACACCAGGTCACCATCTTTCCAGAACTATTCTGCAATTCAAGAAACCAGCTGTCCTTGGAGAAATTCCAGAATCTAAAGCTGAGGCAGGCAATGTGCAAGATGAGCCTGGAACAGAAAATAAAATAAAGGAGTGGTGCCTGAAAACAAAACAAAACCACACTACAGTGATGGGCACAAAGGGACATAGGAGCCAATCTGAAAGAGCTCTCAATGGCCAAAGCAGGAATATTTGTGAGCAAAAATGTTACACAGTATTGGATTATAACCCTCAGTATAAAATAAATACCTACAAATCTACATATTGGTTGAATAAATAAAAGATAAGTCTTTAATATGGAATAATAAAAAAAGTAATGTATGTACATACTCCCTTTCTACCTCAAAAAAAGGTGAGGTCTGTCCCTTGAATGTGCTGTGCTTAATGACTTGCTTCCAAAGAGTAGAGTATGAAAGTGGGGGAACAAGTATAACACTACTCAGGTGGTCAAGATTAACTTCAACAGTGATGAGTCATGTCGATTGTATGTACCCTTGATATAATACAATGAGAATGGTGCTTTGGGGCTCTTAGGTCCTAAGAGGAAGAGTTGATGAGGCACTTGAGGTCCATCACTGACCTTCAGGAAAAGAATTGATCAGCAGATGTTCTAACATCTGCATTGAGGCCCTTCTTTAGAGTAATAACTAAAAGCCCATGATAATATGTACATCTTGACAGAGGAAGTACAGAGTAGGGTATATTACTGTTACTGATGTTAATTCTCTCCATACATAATTCCCACACTGTTCATGTGCACAATAGGCATTACATGAATGTTTGAATACTGTATATAGAAGATAATCCTGAGTGGCTTTGGGGAAACACTGAGATGGGAACACTGAGTTTGGTAAAAGAGGTTGTAGGCACTGGAATTTCTTGGCAATTCTGAAGAATCAGATTGAAGGGTATTAAAATAATTTTGGATTATGAATTAGAAAATGAGTTTTAAAGACTGCTGCATTCTAAAAGTCGGTAGTACTTACCTGACTGGCTTGTCCTGCAGAATATTTTTTGGAAGACTGTATTCAGATGACCCACTTTGTTCCTCCACCAAAGGACAAGAAGAAGAAGGATAAGGATGAAGATGGTGGCGAGGATGATGATGTAAGTGAATTTCATGGAAGATACTCATTATGGGAAAACTATTGCAGAGAAGAGACTGATTTTAATAAAAGCATGCAGTGAATGCTGATGGACAGTGACTGCAATGGGGTGTGGGGGGGGGTCTTGATAATATGGGTAAATGTAGTAACCACAGTGTTACTCATGTGAAACCTTCATAAGATTGTATATCAATGATACCTTAATTTAAAAAAAATACAGTGAGTTCACATTACAGAAAATGTTTAGAAACTGACTATAATGTCTGTGTTTGTAATTAATTGTATTTCACTCCCAAGAAGCCCACATTCAGTAACAAGCTCTTTTCATACCATAATTAAAGTCATATGTCTGCCATAAAGGTCAAAAGAAAAGGGGAAAGTGTAAGATGTTTAAAAGCCCCCACATGGTTAGAAATAACTCCATTTTATAAGGCTTTGCTACTTAAGAGTGGTTTCTATGGACCACAACGCCTGGGAAACTGATAGAAAGGAAGAATTTTGTGCCCTACCCCAGATTTACTAAATAGAATCTGTATTTTAGTAACTCCAGGTGATACATATGTAGAGTTTAAGAAACAGCAGCTATCATCCTAGATTAGAGAGAGAGACTATATGGTGATGACATTATCAGATGGAGAGAATATTAAATTAGGGAATTGAGAGAGCTTTCCTAAGAAACAGGAAAGGAAAGAAGAGTGTCACTTTGTAGTGCTTGAGAGAAATAATATAAAAATGAATCTTGAATCTGGTAATTTGAACAGAATGAGTACTATAAGACAGCCAGCAATGCAGAATTTGATAGAAAATACCTTGGGATTGGGTATTTTTAATCAGAAAACTCAATGTAAATGAATAACATTAGAAAGTTATTATTAGAGAAAAAAATACTAACTGTAATAACTTTGTTTCTCATTACTGATGGCTTGGTTTATTGTTGATTCTAAGGCAAACTTACTGATAAATACCACATGATTTCAGAAATAGACAAAGGTGGTCAACTGCCCTACATGCAGGACTCATTTAAGAATTAAATGACTTCATGTTTGGTATGAGATGAGCCTGGGAATTATACAGGGAAGTATGATGTATAAATAAAGTAATCATGTGGTATTTCAAGACAGGATCATAAGAGCTGTTCATTAATCAGTAAGGAAAGTAATACTGCAAAACCAAGAGGTTATAATCATGAGAGAGAAACACTTGGAGGATGGAGTCATTAGAAAGTTCAGGGTCAAACTGAAAGCTTATGCTTGAATATTAATCATATCCTATGGGAAATAACAGCCATGAGAAAAAATCAGCATGTCACCATGCAGTAGAATATGTTTTTGGAAATACATTTTCTTCTATATGCCAGATGTGATTAAAACAGAATAAGGATATGAAGTATCATTTGGACCTTAAGAATAAAGACTCATACGAGCTATTGTAATTGAGACAATCCAAAGTATGTCTCCCTATATTTTGTAGGCAAATTGCAACCTGATTTGTGGTGATGAATATGGTCAAGAAACAAAGATGAGCATGGCTCAGTTGAATGAAAAGGAAACTCCTTTCGAACTCATTGAGGCTCTACTTAAGTACATCGAGACCCTTAATGTTCCCGGAGCTGTGTTGGTCTTTCTTCCTGGCTGGAATTTAATTTATACCATGCAGAAGCATTTGGAAATGAATCCACATTTTGGTATGAGTTTTTGAATTCTCACATATTCGAGTCAAAAAATAAATGAATATTTTTGCTTGTGCTCTAGCCAATTTGTGGAAACAATTTAAGTTCTGTCAGTTTTTCAATAAAAGTATACATAATGTAGAGCAGTTTCAGACTGAGTTCCTGTTTTAGACCTTGACTTTTCTTTATTGTCACAGGAAGCCACAGGTACCAGATTCTGCCTCTGCATTCTCAGATTCCTCGAGAGGAGCAGCGCAAAGTGTTTGATCCAGTACCAGGTGGAGTAACCAAGGTAAATAATAAAAATTACAGTTATGTTTGGGGTTGGAAGTTGTACATATTAAACAAATGTTACAGGCCTAAAAAGAGCTATTCAAAAAAATTGTGATCCATTTAAATTAAGGAGGAAAAATAGGAATCTTCTCTTTCTGTACTTAGTGGGTTTTTCATTATCTAGTGGGCAAGTGATAGTTTTAAAGACTTCTGTAATCCTGTTATTTGTTACATATATATAAAGCAACCCTTTCGAGTTTATAATGGTGAAATATTTTTTGAAGTGTGATTTTTCTTAATATTTCTTCACAGGTTATTTTGTCCACAAATATTGCGGAGACCAGCATTACCATAAATGATGTTGTTTATGTCATTGACTCCTGCAAGTAAGTTCCCAAGGAACCTGTCTACCTAGAATAAATGTTAAGAATGTTCCATGTAGTATCTAGTATCAGTTAATAAAATCAAAAAACACCTTAGTTTTAAACTCCTGTGTTCTAAAAAAATTACTCTGTGCATACACACACATACATACACACATATACTGGATTTTAGACTAATTAATAATTCTCAGTGTGTTGATCATGACAAATCAGTTATCATAGTAGAAAGTGACAAAGCTTAACTTTTGCTCCCCACTGCCCCTGTGTGCTAGAGTTTTGCTTATTTCCCTTTGGGTGTTTCCACTGACTTGTTCTGTGTATAAAGATGACAGTGTTTAACTCATGACAAATATCCTGCCTGTAGGACACTCATTTAAGAATTAAAAGACTTCATAGTTGGTGTGAGATGGGCCTGGGAAATACACAAGGAGCTATTGTGTATAGCTAAAGTAATTCTATAGCAGTTGATAAGTGGGACAAAAAAGTAAAAACTTTGTTATATCTGGTCTGCTTGTGTCCCATGTTTTCTCTATATAATCCCTCAGCTTGTTCTGGCATTTGGAAAAGATTTGCTAGTGCCCACTTTAGGGAATGGTGAATAGCTTGCAGCTCCTTTATGCCAACCCAGTCATTTAGTGCCAGCTGCCTATGTGTAACATTGAGGGATTCTGAGGTTGCTTAGAGGTTCAGAAGGACCATGGAGACACTGCTTGGTGAGCTTATCAAGTGCAGCATGTTCCAGGTCAGTTCATAACCTGCCCATCCATCACAGGTAGCTTAAAAATTAGACTAAATTTTGGAGTAGAGTTGGCTTGAATAGTTACCACTTAAATGTATGTGCCAGATCCAGTATAATTCACTTATACTTGTAAATAACAACCCCTGTGAGGTAGGTAATAGTATTATTCTCATTTTCAAATGAGGAAAATGAGGCACAGAAAGGTTAGTAACTTGGCCCAGATCGTCCAGCTTGTAAGGGACACATGTATGTTATATTGCCTTTTAGTAGGTTGACAGCTAGGAGAGGACAATTAAATTATTGTTCTGTTCACAAATAGGCATGGCTATCTGGAAGGCATCCACCACTCAGTGGAAATATAATGGTTATATATTGGTAGTATATATGAGTTTTAGAATTATAACTTTTTCCTACCTAGGCAGAAAGTGAAGCTGTTCACTGCTCACAACAATATGACCAACTATGCCACAGTGTGGGCATCTAAAACAAATCTCGAGCAGCGGAAAGGACGAGCTGGCCGTGTGCGGCCTGGATTTTGCTTTCACCTCTGTAGTCGAGCTCGATTTGAGAGGTAAGACCTATTCTTGAATAAAGACTGAAGGCTTTTTTGACCCTTTACACATGCTCCCCCTCTGTTTGTGCTACCGTGAACTTAATAAACTCAGTACATAAATACCTCCAGTTAAGTACATTGGAGGAAACTTAGCTTGGATAATGAGATTGTGCAAGATCAGAATTGTCATTCGTGGCATGTGTGATACTGGTTTACTATTTACTAATTGCTTCTTAAGAGGAAGATTCATGAACATTATTTTGGCCCCCACGTAGTTTTAATGCTTTGGGATTACTGATACTTACAGAATGGTTGAACAATGCTTTTGTACTGAAGGAATTTTTTTCCCCCACTGCTAGCACATCACCCATCTCATTTGGTCCTCCTCATGTGCCTAGGAAATGGGGTGGTATTTGGATACGGAATCTAAAGCTTAAGGAGCTTAGCTGACTTACCCAGGACTGAAATCCAAGTCTGTTAATATCTTGTCCATTTCCACTTATACTACAGGGCCCTGTTGGGAATGTTTGTGGATAGTTAAAAAGTTCTCTCTCTAAATTAAAAATTTTAGATAGGTATTTAGCTGTATGTCTCTGGAGCTCCATGTGGTCTACATTAGCTTTAACTAGTTGATAGTAAAGATAGAACTAAAGGTTTTGTGTGTGTGTGTGTGTGTATCACAATAAAGAACTGTGGGACAGAGACTGATTTAGGTGACCAGATGTATGCGTGGTGTACTAAAGAAATACCAAGCAGTTTTGATTGCTTTTATACCAGTAACCCATGGCTCCCTAGTAATTGTAAATGTAAGTTTATCTGAGCATCAAAAATTGACTCAGGAGACTGACTCCAACATTTGGAAGATACTTACTTAGTTCTTTGTAAACATTAGGTTGTTGTTTGAACTGAAGAAACAAGTACTGTGTTCTAACATCTTAGAGTAAAATCATCCATTGATTAGTAACAGCATGAGTAGACCTTACAATAAAGGATCTCTGTAGGATATGGAATAGATCTCTATGCATTTATGTAAACCTGCTTTAAACTGATTGTAGTCTTGCCAGCAATATTGGGTCACCTGTAAATGGTTCCTGTGAATCTTAATCATAAATAGTTTACAGGGAATGAGGCTGAATTAGAAATGTAGAGACCTGGCTCTTACTACTCTTTGCACCTAACATATGCATAACTGTAAACATTTGCCTTCTTTAGGCCTCTGTTTCCCATTCTATGAAATGAGATGAAAGTTCCTTAACCTTTCTGTGTCTGTTTCCTCAGTTAAAAAAGAAAGATACTGTAGTACCTAACCCATAGAATTTGTTTGAGAATTAAATGAATTAATGTGGAATACTGAGAACAATGCTTGGCACAGAGTAAGCTCTCAGTAAATGTTAGTTATTACCATTTTAATACTAATTCATAATAACATTATTAAATTTTTAAATGGTTTGATGATTTGTAAGATCCTTCCCAGGTGGCACTAAATTTATATGGGCCAGGAAAGGGCAGAGGTTGTGGGGAAATTTATCCCATATTGCATCTTCCACAAAAGGTCATGTTACCATTTTTAACCTTTGGCAGTACGTAGGACCTGAAGGAAGCCATAAGTGGTGGTTATAACATTAGGGATTTTGGATAATTTTTGTATCCTCCTCCACTCCTCAGTTGAAAATACTATAAAGCTGTAAATGTAAAGTTAAGAGGGTCTTGTCCAGACAGAGTCTTTGTAGTAAATATAAAACATCCTTTGATAATTATAAAAGGATGAGAACAGGACATTTTTATATCCCTGATTAACTCTCTGCAAAGATTTTATTTAAAAACGTGTAAAACAAGGTTCCACGTGGTTATTTATGGTTGTTTTCTCTAGACTTGAAACACACATGACGCCAGAGATGTTCCGAACACCATTGCACGAAATTGCTTTGAGCATAAAGCTTCTGCGTCTGGGAGGGATTGGCCAGTTCCTGGCCAAGGCGATCGAACCCCCGCCTTTGGATGCTGTGATTGAAGCAGAGCACACTCTTAGAGGTACCTACAAATACAGAACTACTGAGCAGCTTAATTAGACCATCTGTCTTATCCTTGCAAAAATAACATTTAAGAAATGAATCAAGAAGATACAGTCCACAGGACTGTGATAATGAAACTTCCAATGTTGTCTTAAGTACTTGGTGTGGTTAGTATTGTAAGATGAACAACATGTGGTAAGGATGGGAAGATACTGTTTTATTTTGGGGAAAAAATAGGGAAAAAAACAGGATGTCATCTGTTAAATCAGTATTTAACAATTAGAACATGAATTATGATACCCACAATACTGTATATACATTTCCTAGAACATCTATTTATGTTTTCTAATCACACTTCTTATAGACGTGGTATGGTATAGTGGGAAGAAATGTAGGCATTGGAGTCAAGGGAATCTGAACTTGAATTTTGAATCTAAACTTGTGAACTTCAGACTTTTGCTCTCCAGATTTCATTTCTTTTTCTCTAAAAATGATCAATATATAGTACTAGATTTTTATGGCATGTTAGATACGTATGCTGCTGTTGTGGTTGTTACTGTATTTGTAGATGTCTC